GGTTTGGGCTTTGCTTCCGTGAAGATTGACAGCCTTGGAGACCCTGTGGGCAGTTCCACTCTGTCCTCTAGGGGCGCTGTGGGTCAGAATGGACTCCAGGGCAGTGGGTGTGGTTTGGGCTTTGCTTCTGTGAAGATTGACAGCCTTGGAGGCCCTGTGGCCAGTTCCACTCTGTCCTCTACAGGCGCTGTGGGTTGGAGTCCACTCCACAGCACTGAGTTTACTTTGGTTGGTTTGATCTTATTTAATGTGAACACTTGAGGATGGAGTAGTGCGTGGAGCGGGAAGTAGCTCCCCCAGGGTTGGTCTGGAGGCCCTGGGTGGTGCGGACGTTGAAGTGCTCAATGATGAATGGAGAGCTTGGAGGTTCAAGTCCACCAAGAGGCATCATGGAAGAAAGGCCCCTTGGTTGTTGGTGGGCTTGTGGACACTCGGCCCTGAGACCCCATGGTGCACACGAGTTGTCTGACCCAGAAGAGGCCCCATGAGCAGAGTCGACGTGCCGGCAATGAGTTTGGTTTGGGGCTTGGTCTGGAGTCTGTCCGGTGAATGCCCACTGTCACCTGACCTTGGGTTCTAGTCCCAGGAGTGGCTTATCCATCCTGGATTCAGTGACAGCAGTGACTGCTTGCTGGAGGAAGTTTGCACATGGGTTTTGTCTCGGCTCTAAGATGTTTTGTTGAAAAGTGACACCAGGAAAATCAGGAGCTGTGCATAAAAGCTCTCGCTGCTTGAGAACCCAGGGCCCTGGGCGTCCCGTCTCACGAACCGTTGGAGCCTACCGCTGACCACGCCACACTGACAGCATCGGCCTGCATTTCCAGCAACCTCACAAGCTCCTGGGCCTCTCCAGCGGCCTGTGTCACGCACACGGGCCATCGTTGAACACATGCATGGCTACTGATGTGTTACGGGTTGAACATGTTCTCCGGGAAGACATGCTGAAGTCCTGCCACCTGGGTCTGAGGAGGTGACCGTGCCGGGATAGGGCTCTCTCTTGCTACGTGAACGAGGGCCTAGTATAGTGGGGTAGGCCCCAGACCTACCACCTTCTGAGTGGTGTCTCACAGAAGAAGCAGAGTAGACAGACAAGCACACGGGAAAGCAGACGCCACGTGAAGACAGCCACACACAGCCCAGGAGCGCCCGGAACTACAGATGCTGAAAAAGACAAGGATCTGCCCCCAAAGCCCCAGAGCCCGTGCGTGAAGTCCAGCTGTGCAAACGCCTGAGAGCCCAGGACTGGGAGACAATAAATGTCTGCCCTCGGAGGCCCCTGCTCGTGGCGTTTGGGCGCCAGCAGCTCCAGTGGACTAAGACAGAAGTACCAGCTGGGGTTCCTTGGACTCGAAGTAGCCTGCCGAACGGCCTCACTGGCCCCCATCCCCTAACTGTGCCTGAGCACCAGGTCGGCAGTGCTGGGTGGGCTCCCGCCGGTCCCTGGGCATGCTACCGGAGGAATTCAGCAGCCGTGGGGTCCCCACAGCCACGGCCTCACGCAGGTTACGACCCCAACGGGCCTTGTGGCTGCCTTTACAGGACTCACGTCAGGAACCCTTCCCAGTCACGCCGTCACACTCCACTCCCAGGACGCTGCACCTGGCGGGTGTGTCTACTGTCACTTAACCTCCGGCTCAGAGGAGGGGGCCTTCCATAAAGATATCAGCCTTGTAAACCTTAGGGGAGGATCCACTCTGTGCTCTCATGGCACTGAGTCAGAATCAACTCCGGGGCAGTGGGTTTGGGTTTGGTGTTCCGAGGGCATCAGTAAAGGAGCCCTGCTGGTGTAGTGGTTAAGGCATCTGGCTGCTAACCAGGAGGCTGCTGGTTCAAACCCACCAGCTGCTCTATGGAAGAAAGATGAGGCATTCTGCTTCTGTAAAGATTTACAGCCTTGGAAACCCAATAGGGGTCGCTATGAGTCAGAATGGACTTAATGGCAGTGCGTTTGGCCTGGCTCTGGAGGACATAAGTGAAGACCCTGGTGGTGAAGTGCTTAAAGCGCTCGGCTGCCAACCAAAAGGTCAGCACAGGTGGCTATATGGAAGAACGCCCTTCCCAAAAGATGACAGCCAAGAAGAGTGAGCCCTCAGGGACACGCTGGTCGCTGTGACTTGACCGTGACTCGGTGGCAAGTGGTTTCACTTTGTGGATTTGTGCGGGAGTGCAGCAGAAATCCCAGACATCAGCAGGGCAGACAGACTAAGGCAGGAAAATGAACCGGTCCTCCAAGCTGGTGATAGAGGGCCAAGGGTCCCCATGCCTGGCGGGAGAGGGGTCCTCGGTGTAAAACTGTCCCCAGCTGCAGTGACGGTGATCTGGGGCCGTGAGGGGCCCGTATCAAATGTCCAAGGCCCTGGGCCAGAGACCAAGAGCATGTCCCACATGGATTATCCAGCGGGCCTTGACACAAGAGCCACCACAGTCCACAACTCAGCTCTCGGCCAACCTCAAATTCCACCCAGACGAGGCGGGCTCAGAAAAGCCAGCTTCCTGCCCGGAAGGGCCCGTGGCGGCAGCTTCGCTACCACCTGTGTGGTCTGCCCAGCTCACAAGCCCGAGTTGGCACTCAGGGTGACATGACCTCACAGAGCCACATCTGGGGGTTGCAGGGACCACACGTACATCAGACAGAAGGGCTGAGGACTTGGGTGTGACTGAGGGCGCCCCCACGTGTGCACAGTGGGGCTGCTCCTCAGGGTTTCAAAGGGCCGATGTTTCGAAGTCCACTGCCAGGCCTTCCTTCAGAGGCACCCCTGGGCAGACTCGAACCCCCAGCCTTGCTGTGAGCAGCTGACGCTTGGCTATCCCACCTGGGGCTCCTTTAGAAAGTGACAAACACGGTGAATACCCTTGTCAACAAGAAACAGTAACTCTTCAGGATTTCCCGGGAACCTTCTCCCCAGGGAAGGTGAGTCGGACCTCTAGGGCTGCACAGAGGTCCTTCGGAAAGAGGCCCCTCCACCCCGGCTCCTGGTAGCTTCTATGAAGAGACACAGCAGGGACCCCCTCTGGTGAGTCCGTAATGACATGAAGTGGCCCACCATCCACCCAGTTCCACCCGTGCTGCTTTCCTGCCACGCGGCTGTTGGCCTCCCCGCCCGGCGTCTCTCTGTCCAGCACGAAGCTTTCCTACTAGGAAGGGGTGTGATGAGTAGGTCCCGTCACTCGGGCTCTGGACCACGCTGTGTGCGGGATGACACCCACAGGGCTCTGCGAGGAGACCCGGAGATGTGCACGGTGCACGGCCCCAGGAGGCAGCTGCTCGACGGCCCCTGGGGCGGTTCAGGTTGTGTGTCAGCTTGGCTGGGCCTGGTCGGGTGGCCGGGCGGCCGGATGGAGCACTCCCCACGACGGGACCAGTCCTCAGCTGCACGGTGGGCTCTACGGGAGCAGGTGAGCAGCGGCCTCAGGGCCGTGGTACGCCTCCCACAGAAGGAGATGCTCTGTGAACGGGCTGCAGCTTTGGGCACTCTGAGTCCTGCAAGGAGCCCAGCCACTGTTCAGCAGCCTGCCAGGCCCTCTGCCAATCCTGGGACCCTTAACGGACTTGTATCAGGGGCCTGCCGTGTGGTTTGGTAATATAAGGATTGTGTGCCTTTTTCTTGTCAACCTTGGCATTGTCAGGCTCAGCAGCCAGCAGCTGCCCGAGTGAAGAAAGCCTCCAGCTTCCGTGGGCCGGGAGCAGGAGGCAGAGCTGCAGCCCAAGGTTGAGGGCTTTCAGCCAGCCCGTGGACCCTGGCACTTTGAACTTGGACTTCTAGCCTCCAAACTGTAAGAGAATAAACTCCTGTTTGTGAAAGCCACTCATTTGTGGTATATTCCTGTCAGAGCAGCACAAAACAACCAAAAAACCCCAAATTTCTTACCCAATAAACAGTGTTGGGATGGATACTTCGAGACCTGCTCCTGTAGCATTCCACTGTACTCCTAACCCAGCCACTAGGCCCCAGTTCTGCATTCTTCAAGTAAGTAATCAGAAACTCCCTGAAGCAACTAGGGTTTAACAGTCCCTGTGGTCCTGTGCAGGCCAACGGTGAGCATGCGCAACTCACAAATGAAAGGTTGGTGGTTCAAGTCCACCCAATGGCTCCTGGGAAGAAATGCCCGGCAATGTGCTTTGAGAACTCAGCCAAGAACACCTCGTGGAGTGCATCTCTGCCCTGACACATGGGGCGCTGGGCGACAGGGTTGACTGAGGGCTGATGGCATAGTGCCTAAGACATCTGATTGAGAACCAGAAGGCTGGTGGTGCAAACCCAGCAGCCACTCCTCAGAAGGAAGACTGGGCAATCTACGTCCATAGTGATACCACCTCAGAAACCCAAGGAGGGGTTCCTATGAGTCAAATGGACTTGACGTAGTGAGTTTGGTTGGGCTTCCAGAGGTTTAGTTGAAAGGCAACCTGTTGTGCCCCGGTTTGATCACAATGTGGGGGTTCTGCTGGGCAGTGACAGTATCCAAACTCTGGGGACAGGCCCCGTGTCCACCATTGACTAGTTACAGGATCGTGAGGGTTAACGGTCACTCAGTGGGGAGAGACCAGGCTTTGCTTGGAGGAGGTGGTTGGACCCCAGCTCAGCCATCCGGCTGCTGTGTCGGTCCCCAGGCTATGTCCTTGTCTCCAGGCGACTCACTGTGGGGCTACTGCTTGTGTGGGAAGCACCTCGTGTCGGGAACTTGGTGGCACTGAGAAGGACTCGGGATGGCAATTAGGCGACCTGCTGGTCGACCCCTGGTGAGCAAACCAAGGCATCTGTGGTCCCAGCTCTCTCTGGACGTGGAGGTAGAGGGGCTGGCTTGGAGGGCCCCTTGGAGCTGGGGCATCTTGAAAGCGGTGCTTGGGCTGTGGATGAATGGCCATGGATGAATGCCATCTATCTGTCCCCGGCCCGTCACCCCAACAGGAAATCACGCCTCACCGGGCACTCAGAGATCTGACCTCGCCCAAGTTTCTCCCTCGCTTGGCCCTGGACCCCGCTCACTGGGTCTGTTCATCGGAGCCTACTGTCTGCAGCGCTAATTGAAGCCGGGGCCCCAAGCCTTTTGCAGGCCAGTCTCCAGCGTCGCGTGGACAAAGCTGCTGTGTCTGCCCTGGCGTCCCTGGGGACAAAAGGCCGGCTCCGTTTTCATTAGCTGAGTGTGGGGACCCGGGGCTGATGGGGGCAAGGCATGCTGTGCCAGGCACACCAGGCACTGAGATTCCCCAGCTCCTCACACAGGGGCTCCGTGCTCTGCTGGGGTCACACGGCCGTGCCTCCGCCCCCCAGTCTCCCCAGCTCCTCCACACAGGGGCTTCACGCTCTGTCTGGGGTCACACGGCCGTGCCCCCATCCCCTAATCTCCCCAGCTCCTCCACACAGGGGCTCCTGCTCTGCTGGGGTCACACGGCTGTGCCCCCATCCCCTAATCTCCCCAGCTCCTCACACAGGGGCTCCTGCTCTGTTGGGGTCACGCGGCCATGCCGCCACACCCCAGACTCCCCCAGGTCCTCCACACAAGAGTTTCATGCTCTGTCTGGAGTCACATGGCTGTGCCCCCGCCCCCAGTCTTTCCAGCTTATCTACACAGGGGCTCCATGCTTTGCTGGGGTCAAATGGCCATGGCCCTATCCCCCCAGTTGCCCCAGCTCCTCTACACAGGGGCTCCGTGCTCTGATGAGGTCACACGGCCATGGCCCCGGCCCCCAGTCTCCCCAGTTCACCCACACAGGGGCTCCATGCTCTGCTGGGGTCACATGGCCGTGCCCCCACCTCTGAGCTTACCTGGAAGTTGGGATTGGGGTTAGGGTGGGGCAGCCATGCGGAACGCGAGTTCTCCTGGTACTGGAAGGGCCCGTTGAAGGCCTGTGCAATGGCGCTCAGGTTGAAGATGCACACGGCCGAGGCAGCAATGCTGTTCCTGGGGGGAGAGGGGGAGGGGCGTGGTCAGAGCTTGTGGCAGCCGTGTGGCCCCTGACAGCACCTTCCAGAGACCCTCAGGAGCATGGCCTCCCGACACCCCCAGAGGAGGGAGTCCAAACCAGAGGGCTGCTAACACCCCAGCACAGGAAGAGGACCGTGTGGGGCTTTGTCCTTGGTCTCCTGTCCTGCATGAAGCCCTGCAGCCACAGTGCGGGCGGCTAGGACGGTGTCCCTAGAGTGGGTGATTTGAAGCCACCCAGCGGTGCTGAGGGAGAGAGGCCTGGCAGTCTGTCCCCCCAAGATGGCAGCCACGGAGAGCACACGGGCAGTTCTCTGCCGCACACGGGCGGCCACAGGGCCACGAGTCGGCATCGACTGCGGGCAACAGGAGGCCTTCTTTCCACTGTTGGGTGACGCCTTCCAAATTCTGCAGGCAAAGCCTGCAGGCAACGTCCGCGGCTGCAGCCCGTCTCCCACCTGATCCCCTGGCCACTCCTGTTTCCGCCTGTTTGACTTGACGGCCAAGATACTAGTGTTTATCTCCAATCCCTCACAGTCTGCCAGGAATACTTTGCAGGGGGCCTGGCCTCTCTCAAGGTAAAGGTTCCTGCACTTCACATGTTACGTCTCACCTGGTTCAAAGCCTGGCTGCAGAAGGGCAGCCAGAGACCCCAGGGGGGCCCAGTGACAGGGGTGTCTGTGTGCCACCTGCTCTGGCCGCAGTCACGGGGTGAGGCAGGAGGCGCCGCTCAGCTCCCTGTGTGCGAGCCCCTTCTCTCAGATCCCGACAGAAGCCCAGAATCTTCCAAGGTACCACCACGTCAGTGCTGCCTGCAGCCCTGCTCACGCCCAAGCGGGTGAGGATGCCCGGTCCCAGGTCCAGGTGCCACCAGAGTGACAGCACTGCCTGCAGCCCAGGTCACGCCCAAGTGGGCGAGGACACCTTGACCAGGGCAGAGAAGGAACCAGAACAACAAACAGAGACACCAGGGGGTCAGCCACAGGATTTTACGGTCACCTAACACAGAGACCAGCACCATTCTGGGCGTGCGTCACTCCGTGGGGGCTCACATGTTGCTTAGAGGTTGGAGGCTATCCAACTGGTATATCAAATACCAGCAGGGTCATCCATGGTGGACACGTGTCAGCAGAGACTGCTGAGAGAGACCCGCAGGAAATGCATGGCAATCCATTTCTGCAAATCAGCCAGGGCAAACCCAGGGGTCACCGTGAGTCAGAGCTGGCTTGAGAGCCACGGACAGCAAACCCCGTGGATCACAGCCGACCAGGTCTGGCACAGGGCTGGATGCTGACTCGACTCCCCAGGGGTCAGGACGGTAGCTCGAGCAGAGCAGCGGTAAGACGGGTGGGACCGGGCGGCACTGCTCTGGTGCGTGCAGGGTCACCATGAGTCCAAGCCAGCTCGACAGCCACGGACAGCACAGAGACAGGAAATGCGCAGCCACCTGCCCCCTCTCCTGCTCTCAATCTGAGGCGAATCTTGGCACAAATACGGCATCTGCTGAGTGGGTGAGATGAGGTGGAAGCGGAAAGCCGGCACGGGGTGGACGCTCGGCAGGCTATGGGCTAGATTGATCAGAAGTCCCTTCCCAAGACCTCAGAAAAATGCCTAGGGACAAAGGGGAGGTCTGTGGGGCTGGTCCCTGCCTGCACAGCACTGCGTGTGGGGTGCCTTCCCACTACGACGGGTGGTGTGGCACCGAGCAGACAGTCAGGAGTCGTCTGGAACCTGTGTCCCCAACTCTCCAAACTGACCACTGACCATCGTGGAGCAGTTCTGATGCACTGTGTGCAAAAGTGACGTGGGTGACAGGCTCCTGCTACCTGTCAAACGAGGCTTTGGAAAGCGAATCAATTTCAGAAACCGGAAATTGATCTTTCAAAGAAACTTATCAAGGAGGGTGTTGGGTTCCCTAGTGCTGCTCTCACAGACGTATCACAGGTGGGCGGCGTGAACAAAAGGGCTTTACCCTCTCACAGTTCAGGAAGCTGGAAGTCTGAGTTCAGAGCGTTGGCTCTGGGGGCTGGGGGAAGGTCCCTTGACCTCGGACTTCAGCTCTGCCTCTTGTTCCTGGCCCCCCTGGAGCTGGAGGCTTCTCTTCACTCAGGCAGCTGCTGGCTGCTGAGGCTGACAAACCCAAGGTCAACAAGTAAAATGGCACCAAACCAAAACCCACTGCCATCGAGTCAGATCCAAGTCATAGTGACCCTTCCTTGGGTTTCTAAGGTGGTATCACTACAGAAGTAGATTGCCCAACCTTCCTTCTGAGGAGTGGCTGGTGGGTTTGAACCGCCAGCCTTCTGGTTAGCATGCCTTAGGCACTGTGCCACCAGAGCTCCCTAAAATGGCAGAGTCCCGAGATTCTCAAGCAATTCAGCAGCCACTAGTTAAACAGTCCCGAGATCAGCAGACAACATGGCAGACCCCTGATGACTCGGCTAAACGCAGAGTCCAGATGTGCCAAGAAGCTCAAGACCTTTCTCAAAGCCTCTCCTTATATACAGGAAGCAGACCACAGCCCTAAGGCAGCTACTCAGCTGCTCACAGTAGATTCTACCATGGAGCTATGACCAGGCTCACCATGGGGAACACTGCATACAGCTGCCCAGCCACTCAACCAGGCCCAGCCAAGTTAACACCCAAACTGAACTACCACAGAGGAATGATAAACACTGAGGCTGGGGGATGTGGGGCAAGGATCCCCCGTCCCTAATCTCCTGGGATGACTACGCTCTTGGTGGGGAGGTGGGGTGGAACCCTTGTCCCCGAACTCCGGGTGGCCGGTCTCTTGTTGGGACTCATCAGAGCATCACAGCTCAGTGGGATTGTCACTGTGGGTCCAGCCCCACACAGCCCCACACAGCATAAATGAGAGACAGGGAAAGGCAGGGGCTTCACTGGCCCCAAGCATCTGCAGCTGCTTAGTCAGGAGCACCTCCCACGGGAAACACTGGACGCCATGTAATTTTTTAAAAAATTACTTTAAACATATCATTGTCACTTAAAAAACCAGCGTCCATGTCAGTGTCTTCCAGAAGACGCGCATGGTGTCAGCTCTGGTGACACCGGGCGCCTACCCAGCACACTGCACAGAGCAGAGTGGATGAGAATCTCACTGTCAAAGGGGCCAACTCTGCAGAAAACCCCCACTCACTCCTCAGAGACACGGGACCGTGTCCAGAAAACAAGGCGTCTAACACGTCGTGGCACCCTGAGAGTGCCCGGGACAGCGGCCACTCACGAAGGAACAGTTCACGGCAGAGTACCTGGAGCCTGACTAGGATTTTATTTCACTCAGATCCACAGTCAACGCTCATGGAAGCAGCGGCCAAGAAAG